CACCTTTTACCTCTTTCTTTACTCTCATTTTCTCTCTCATTTTCTCTCTCATCCCTCTCTCTCTCTTTCTCTCTCTATTTCCCCAAGTCTTCCAAGTTTGAAAGGAACGCGCGCACGATATATTGCGCGCAACAAATAAAATACCGTTCGTGCCATGAAAAGTCACCGCTGCTACGAGACGAGAACGCAGAGTGTGAAAGCCGTTTCTCATCGACAATGCCATGAAAGAATGTCGATACCCGTTCATTTCTGTACTAGAGGAGGGAAACATTTCTTCTTTTCTTTTTTTTCTTCTCTTCTCTTCTCTTCTTTCTTCCTTTTTTATTGGGATCGCGAGAAAGAGAATATATAGAAACGAATGGCCAAGTGGAAAGAGGAACCTCCAGAGTTACTCTAACGGTATTCAAAGTTTCCATTCGTGAGAGTGAACGCGAACACGTTCGCGTTCGTGTTCGAGTTATGACGGATTCGCGATTGAAGCTGCATCTTTAAAACATGAACACACATTCGGGCCGATGGAATATACGAAGACATCCTTCAAGAGTATATTTCTTTCGGTTTTCTTTTTTCTCTTTTACAAGGGCTTGTATTTGAGGTCAGGAAAAATAGTTTCAGTTTGAGAAATCAAATCGTTGGAGAGTGCGTTGAACTACTACCCGATAGAATTTTAGGGACAAATTTATATAGGTCAACGAGAGCATACCAAAATACATCCGTTTAATTTCCCTCAAATTTACGCTTATTTTTCTGTCATAAAAATGAAAAACGATAAAAGTTACATGTTGTATATATTCGAGTATTTTACATCTAACTGGAATACGTGATTCACCCTAAGTTGCTTTAGTGTAACGAGGTGTTAGGTTAATACCATTGCCGTTCGGATAACACAATTCGTCATATTAGTTGAATATGAGTCTTAGAATTCCAGAAAATATCGATCTAACAATCTTACGAAAAAAATAGTCTGGACCGATCGAAAAGCTAATCGAGCGTGTATTGACCGTCGATTCCGTTTCCTATAGTCGTCGTAAGAACTTGACAAATATAACCGTACAACTATCGCCAAACTTGCTCTTTCTATCTTAAATGCGTTGCATCGAGGAGAAAGTTTACGCATTCGAAAGTAAAACACCTATTATATTTTCTTTTCAAAGTAAGTTCAAATCTCAAAGCTACGTTCGCGATTAAACTATCAAATAACGTTAAGTTGTAAAAAAAAAAATAGAAAAAAAAAGAAAAGTCTATAGTCGTTGCATGAAAAATTGCAAGCTCATTGTGTGTAACCAATGCGATAATAAATGTCTATGATCAAATAGAGAAACATTTGAAATAGATCGAAAATTCATGATCGTATTAACGCGTTCTCCTCTTCCATTAAAGATAGCGTCATTGAAGAGAATCTCGAAGAGAGAACGCTTGTATCCTGCAGTTTGTCCCGATATTGCAGTTTGACTAACGCAACTAGAAAATACGGTCTTGCATACACAGGCGAAGTAGCAACAGCAGAAGCAGCAGAAGCAGCAGCAGAAGCAGCAGTAGTAGTCAGCACAGCGTTCGAGGGAAGTATAAAATGTCAATACGTTTACCGGCGACCCATTGTTGAACTTGATCTATGTTTATGGGCGTGACGGCAGAGCCTAGGTCGCCGTCGCGTTGCATATACGAAAACGAAACCGACTGGAAGCACGAGTATTTCTTTCTATAATGTTCCGCCTGTAATGGCACAAAGGCGGTCCTCGTTTCCTAACTTGTGTAAATCTGAATACACCTATACGTATATACAAATATAGATTCGTATATACAGTTTCGAGGTTGGCGATGAGCTTCGTTCGCGGGAATCCTCGAGAAGGGAATAAATCTTTTTTAGATTTATCTCAAAACGTATACCTTTGGGAATGCGTTGGGATAGACGCACGTGTTACTTCCTTTCATTTATATTTTTCTTTTTTATCGCGCAATAACCTCTCGCTCGATTAAAATTATACGAATAAGAAAAAAAAGCATATTCAAATGAGGTAAGAATAAAAGGAGAATTTTCTTGGATATTACGAATGAGCTTTTGAGGAAAGACAGAAATAGGAAGAGAGAGAGAGAGGGGGAGAGGGAGAGAGAAAGGGTAATGCCGGAGAAGAAGGGCTGAGGCGTCGGAGACTCCACAAGGGAATAAAACCTGATTTAGGACTGCGGTCGAGAAATCTCTCAAGGGACCCTCTGAGCTGACCACCGTGCACTCACTTCGCTTTCCAGTGTCCCTCTGAGTACGATCCTCTCGTAGCGCTATAGTCTGCGCTTCCGTTTCACTATCTCTCTCTCTCTCTCTCCCTATAGTGTCCAACACGTCCGATGTCCCCTGTGTCCCTCGATGCCAACAAGTGCGACTCTTTACCAACATCGCGTTCGAAATGCATTCGGAATACTAAGGAACTCTCCGGGGTGTTATCCGAGAATACGGTTTGATAAAGAGAGAAAGAGAGAGAGAGAGAGAGAGAGAGAGAGAGAGAGAGAGAGAGAGAGAGAGAGAGAGAAAGAGGGAAAGATGAAAGACTCTTCAAGTAGCCGAGAAAACACGTAACTACAAGCTCGTCTACAAATTGCCTATGAATATCTTTAAACCCTCCTTCCTTTCCATCTCTCCTCTCGCGTTTGGGAGAGTTTGGCCAACTCGGCCGATCGGTTCCATCAAAAATGTATTCCAAGCGTGTTAGGAGAATCAAATTTCGCGAGGCCGACGAGATCCATTAAACGGCGCGTTCGGCGTCACTGCCGATCGATTCGGAAGAGGAAAGAGGGAGAAGAGAGAACGTTGGAAGAGCTTCTTCTTTTTCCTTCTTCTCATCCTCCCTGCCACCCTCCCACCATCCCTCTCTTTCACGATCGTTGGCTCCGTCAAGCGTTTCGAGTACGTTTTCAAATTCTACGAGAAGGAAGAAGAGGAAGAGGATATCGGTCGTCTATTCCCTTCAAAAAAAAAAAAAAAACGATAAGAGAAGAAATCTCATGATTTTTCTGTACCTCTTGAAGAGAGAATGAGAGAAGACTTATGCGTCAATGATCGATGAATCGTAATATACGTTTGGCTCTTGCGATATCCTCTCTCTATCAAGTGGCTCGATATAGGAAAACATTTATTTAGATCAAGAGTTGTTAAAAATCATCCAATGAAAAACTCAAAAGGAATGTTGTGGTATTAAATGGAAAAGGAATTTGAGTTAATAAAAGAAAAGTCAGAAATATCATTAGACGAAGAACCCAAGAGTAGGTATTGGGTGAAATTTGAGTATAGAGTCAAAGACGAGAAAGGAGAGAAGAGGGAAAGGGATAGGGTAAGGATAGCAAAAGGGACGACGGATATAGATAGAGTAAGAGTAAGAGAGAGAGAGAGAGAGAGAAAGGAAGGAAGGAAGGAAGGAAGACGCTCCTGGCACAGCCTAGCGTGTAGTTTACTACGTGCCTGCCTGTCGGGGCATCCCGTGACCGTGGTCTAGCTTAAGGATTCGGGTCAGGCTGTAACCTGCCTCGATTGCAAATACAGAGGAGAAACACAGCTCTTGGAAGCGCTGCCAAAACCAAAACTCAAGTAGCACTACTAGCCAGTGGCGGATTTCCGCACAGGCGCACAAGGCGCGCGCCTGGGGCCTCTTAAATCAAAGGGCCCTTTAATCTACGATCTCTAAATATAAAAAGATAATTGTTTCCTTTTAAATGTCATCCTTACATATAACCGTTATCAAATAAAACTATTATTTATTGCGAGATGTGTGTTCATTATTCAGAGAGATGGCTCCGAATTAAATTGCATCTGGGATTTCTCAAGTGTTAAATCCGCAACTGCAACTAGCTACTGCTAGCTGCAATACCAATACTCTTCCATGTGTTACCACTAAAATGCAAAACTTTAATCGGATTCCTTTTTCTCTTTCCTCTCTATCTCTCTTTCTCTCTCTCTCTTTTTATTCTACTATTTCTCCTCGAAATAAGCGATATAGTATCGTGTTACGAAATTTGACTTGGGAAAATATTCGTGCGAAATATCACCTTATGTTTTGCATCGAGGCAAAGCATTGCTTCTTCCAGTTTCTTTTTCGAATAAGTATATATATAAGTATAGATATGCGGTTGTGCATGTGCGAATACAAGTAGAGTAACATATACGTTGACTCCGTTAAAATGGATAGTCCAAACGCGATAGTAGAGAAAGAAGACGGTCGCCCGAGATAAGAGAATGGATTGTACAAAATAGAAAATAATATACTTTTATATCGAGACGTATCTTTTTGGATATTGTTAAACAACGAACGGGCTGGGACCGGGGGGGAGGGGACGATCGATCTGTCGTTAGAAAATTTGTTCTATGCAATGTTATTTTGTTCAGGATCAATTGTCTAGGTAGTAGTAACGTCTCCACACGCAGAAAGATCCTTATCATGTGAAAGATGTTGAAACGGTAAATCGTTGGGGAAAAAAAACGAATTCTCCGGAAGAATGTTGGAAAAGCACGCGACGTTAGGGAAAAATAGCACGCACTTTGTCACCGGATATGAATCCTATTGAGCATACTTAGAATATGCCCTGGCAAAAGCTCGCGGCTGATGCAAGAATGCGAACGACGACGAGGACGACGACAACGAAGCGGCGTAAGCTCGCGTTGCTCCAGAGAGTCACTGAAGAATGGGCCAGCATACCGTAAGTTCTTCGCCATCTTTTTTAATGCACGCGCTGTCATGCGGCACCCGTATGAGTGAGTAGCGGTTGGAACTTGCGAATATTAAAAGTACTTTTTGAGTAAGCCACTCGAAAGAGAGGGGGAGAGGGGTTCGCGAGCATGCGCGCGCGCGCGCACGCCTATTTCATAACTTTACCTAAGTTAAACCGAGATAACGTAAATGCAATTTCTACTGAAAAACTATTCGCATATCCTTTCGGAAAAAAAGAATGTGGTAATAAGAAAAGAAAATAATAATTGAGTGATCCTGGATCGATCGCGAGTTATAATAGCGTACCTGGCTGATAAAGGTAGAGGTCCGCGGCGCGCGGCCACACGATCGCCGAGCGCTCCACGCTGCCTGTTTGATTCCGCGTGTTTGCGGATCCCGGAAATCCTATGAAGAGAGACGAAGAAAAATAATAGTTTTCACAAGGCACAATAACGCACGAGAAAGAAGAAGAATAAGAAGAAGAAGAAGAAGAAGAAGAAGAAGAAGAAGTAGGAGTAGAAGTAGAAGTAGTAGAAGAAGAAGTAGTAGTAGTAGTAGTAGTAGTAGTAGAAGAAGAAGTAGAAGAAACTAAACTAAATGGTCAGTTTTCTTTTCCTCGAGATATATCGAAAAAAAACTTTTCTTTCTTGACGAGTGTCTCTTCTTCTTTTCTTTTTTTTCTTTTTTGTTTTTTTTTTGTTTTTTCTTTTTTTTCGCTAATCGTTCCGTAACGTGTCCGTAGAAAATCTATGACGTTCGATAAGCGTCATCTTAATTGTCATCGTCGTAATCATTCCTTTTCTTCTTTAATTTATCGATAGATTAAAGATATCGATAACGATTGATTCGAAGGAACAAACAAACAAACAAACAAACAAACACTTTTTTTTTGATTTATCAATTGAAGCACGTATGAGCACAGGAGAGAAACCAATGACGATGACGACGACACCACGTTCGTAGGAAACAATTAATTGGTCGTCTTCGTCTATGTTGTCCAACCACGTGTTCGTTCTTCTCTCTCCCTCTCTCCCTCTCTCCTGATAATTTTTCTTTCACAGTCGTTGAAAAAAGTAACGATAAATCACGATATCCAAATGGATTAACGTTCTCTCACACACGCGCGCGCGCGCGCCCACGCAGCACGCGGTTAGAGAGAACGAGTGTTGCAGCACTGTATGTTATTCGCGTGCTAGGTATCACCCGTTTTGAAGGAATTGACCGCGTGGTTGCAACCACCGCCTCCAATTGTCCTCGTCGTTTTCCTTTTACTCGTTGTCAACCTCGTCCTCGTCCTTGTCCTCGTCCTCGTCGTTGTCGTCCTCGTCGTCCTCGTCTTTGTCTTCGTCGTCTTCGTCGTCCTTGTCGTCGTCGGCGTACTCATCAAGGAAATACAACGTGGAAAAGTTCAACGAGCTGGCCGACGAAACCACCAGCAATCAACCAACCAACTACCACCAATTACCACAACCAACCACCAAAGACCGGCTTTTTATTTTAATCTTCATAGAAAAGTTAACCAACTAATTATCAACGTTACTTTATTTATTTCTTCATCTCTCTCCCATGTTCTCCCTCTTTCTCTCTCTCTCTCTCTCTCTCTCTTTCTTTCTCTCTCTCTCGATTTTTTTTACTTTGTTCAACTCGAGGAGCTAGATAAGATAGATATGCTTCGCACCAACCTTCGGCTCGTTCTTCGCGTCCTTTTCCTGAGAGAACAACAACACGTCAGCCAATGCAATTCCCCCCAAATACCCCCTTTCAACTCAACTCAACACCGGCAACGATTAATCGCGAATAATGTTCATCGACGAACGACACAATTCGTAAAGGGAGCTGAGTAAACGCACATGTAAATAATAATATGAACCAGGTTCGAGGAATTCAAAAATCGAAACGAAAAGAAAACAGAAAAAAAGAAATAAAAAAAAAAGGGAAAAAAAGGGGGAGAGAAAGTAAAACAAAGACGGGGATGGGAAAAGCACGCGCACGCACGCACGCACACACAAAAGGATAAATGACGAAGACCGGTGGTTAGACGACGATAACAACAACAACGACGACGACGACAACGACGACGACACGGGGACGTGTGGTTTGGATTTGATATCAAACAAACGGGACAGTGAAATAAAAATATATATAAAAAAAAAAAAAAAGTAAAACTTCAGCGTCCGCAGGGGGTTTAATCGTAATCCGTATAAAATTAAAACGAGTTAAACTGATATAGAGAAAAAGAGAGAAATAGAGAAGAGAGTGAGAGAGAGAGAGAGAGAGAGTGGGAACTAGCGCACTCGGCAACGACGCCACCTCCTTTGGCAAAACGTGGAGATGGTGTACACTGCGGTCGCTCTCCGCACACTGAGGATAGCTGACGTCACGAGCCCACCACGCGGAGGTGGTCTCGCGAGCGACCGGTTCGCGCCGGCGCCCGCGGCGCTGCAATCCCTATAGGCATACGACACGATATACCTTTCCCGTTTCCACCACGCTTTGCTTCCTTCTGTATGCCGGTATCACTGTATATACTTACCTACACCACCCCACCTACCTAAAGCCAGACCTACTCCGTTCCACCTACGCGAACTAAGAGAGACCGAGTAACGCTTTAACCGTCGACGGAGGAGCTAACACGTAATGGGGTTTTACCTTACGCGAGGAAGGATACGCGAGGAAGGATACCCGACGAAGGATACGCTCCGAGAGATCATACCAACGATTCGACCTATGCTATCAACCCCGCCAGGGTATCGTCCCCCTTTCTTCCATCAGCTTCTGATAATAATAGATTTTCGATACATTTTCTTAATATTCAGGATTGATCAAATATTTGCACTCAGAATTTGGACAATCTTAATGATGAGTTCACTTTGAACGCATTGACATTTTTAATAAATAATTGTAAGTATAATAGGGGAGAAAAAATGAGAATTCCAAGAAGGAGATTGTTCCTTCTTTCCTTTTTTTTTACTCTCTCCTTCGGTCTGAGTAATAAAATACAGTTTCCACGCGAGGTCTCTCTGAAAGAAAAGATCGGGAGTGGCTCGTTCCCGCGGTGTTAGCCACGATCCTTCGAGTGATCTTCTACAGGCAGAAAACCACGAAGGAACGGGCAAATTCTCGAGGAGAAAGCTTTGGGGGAGAGTAGTAGTAGTAGCAGTAGTAGTCCTTCTTCCTTTCCCTGGGTCCGTCGTTAAGGGGGTGGAAAGTTTTGCCTCCGAGAGTTTCAAACTAACTCGGTTAACTCAAAAAGAGCGAAGGAACGACGACGACGACGACGACGAAGACGACGACGACGATGAAGAATCGACGAAAGATAAGAATGACGCTGTGTTTCTTAACGATTGGATTTATATCAAATACAACGTCATAGATCAGTGACGTGTTATGCCATCATCATTGACAAACGAATACAACAAAAATTGTACGAAGGAATAATTCTTATTCGTCGAGTTAAAAGAGAAATAACTTCATCGATTGTATGCTAAAAAAGAGAAAAGCAAGAATATCATGTCATCGTAAAGTAGGGATATGTTCATGAAGATCAAAAAGAATGGATAGGCTTAAACATGAAAGGAAAGCAATCGTAACGATTGTCGACTGGTCCGTAGGTAGGACACTTGTTTTAAGTACGCGCATACCGGACGTATATGTAGGTTGATACGTCAAAGCAAAAATGTACGAAACCAGAAAGAGCGAGAGAGAGAGAGAGAGAGAAGGGAATGAAACAAAGGGTGAAAAAAGAAAGGAAAAAGAAAAAAGCAGTGCGAGAAAAAGCGTCCTCCCGTCATCTCTCTTTATTTCTATCTCTCGCTTTCTCTCTATCACTTTCTTGACTCTTTCCCTTTTCCTCTCGGTCGTTGGTACCGTTGGGTGGGCTACTGGTAGAAGGTGGATGGAAATCAATAGCCCTGAATAATGAACCCCAAGGCAGCACCCTCGCTCCGCTCTCCACGGTCTGGAGCAGTCTCTCATGCATCCTCTCGTTCCGGAGAGAAAGAGAACGGGAGGGTAAGGAGAAAGCGAGAGGAGCAAAAGGTACGGTAGGAGAGACAGGAATGAGAGAGGAACAGGGAAGAAGGGTGTATACATATATATAAAGATGTGTATATGTATATACACAGAGAAAGAGAGAAAGAGAGAGAAAGAGAGAGAGAGAGAGATCTATATATTAGTCTATCTTTCCTCCTTCATCCAACCGTTCTCTTCTTCAGCAAGCAAAGCCTACCGAGCCTCCTCCAACTCCACCTTCGCTTCCTCCTTTTCCTCCTTCTCCTCCGACTGTAGGATGTTCGAAAGGAGGTGTTTGTGTCCTCTCTCCTAGCCCCCAACTTTACTACGAGACCCCCTCGAACTCAATTCGGATAACCGACGGAAGAGAAGGAGAAGCGCAGGAGGACACGGAAAATGATTACCCTCTACCCCTTCTCATCGTCGTCGTCGTCGTCGTCGTCCTCCTCCTCCTCCTCCTCCTCTTCCACCTACCATTCTCCTCACCCTTCCTTCGTTCTCTTCCTCTGCCTCTCTTTCGTCTTCTCCAGGACGGATCGATGGTCGTCGAGCACCTTGGTTCGTGATTCTCTTGGATTCGGATCAATACCTACTTTAGTATTGCAATAAAATGCTCAAACAGAGCGTTATGATAGTCCGCTCTCCTATCGAGTGCCCATCGAAGAAACGATTTGGCGAGCAGTAAATTTATTTACGATTGACTCCTGACGTAAACGATGTACGTCGTTATGATCCGCGGAAACGATGACATCCGTTGATGAAATGTTTTCCATCGGATAAATCGAGAATGGTTAAATGACGAGAGAGAGAGAGAGAGAGAGAGAGAGAGAGAGAGAGAAGAATATTATTAGCATAATTTAGATACCCCATCCATCTACCAAGGCACACACACAATCACCCCTCCAAACAATTTCTCTTATTCTTTTAATTGTTGTTTTTGCCGAAGCCAAATTCGTTTCGAGAAGATTTGTAAGAAAATTCCTTTCTGATGTCTTCATCTGGCAACGGGGTATGGCTACTACGACCGGTTGAATAAATAGACATGCCAATTTACATAGTCGTTAACGGGTATGGTTGGCAAGTCCTTATCGACTGTAGTTGGTGAGTATGGCTGAACCTCCTGACCTAGCCAACGCGTTCTACGTTATTCCTACACCTTCCTTCCCCACTTCCTCATACCTTACCATCGGCAAGGATCCCAATTGGTTATATACCACCTTGGATCCCCAATACTCCTCTCCCTAAACTGAAACGCTTATTAAAGATCGATCGGGGACACTGCGGAAACTCTTCCGATGCATTAACGAATTGAAAATAACGAAAGGGATGCGGATCTTCGCTTGGCTCGTAACGTGTCGTCTCCGATGATTTAAACAGAGAAAGAGAAAGAGAGAGAAAGAGTGGCTTTGCTCGAATAAACGTCTTTTTAACCCCGTTTTAACATTTACATGATATTATTCGAAAAACGAGGAAAATTTCTATCATCATCGTTCGCGTGAAATATCAGATACTTTAAATTCAACCGGGACTGGGAGAATAAATTGTAGTCTCTAAGTTTTGACACGGGCAAAAACAACGGCAACACTGAGATCTCGTTTTTCCTTTCTTACCGTGCAGGTAAAAGAATTCAAATGTCGTTGATGTAGTAGTCGATTTCAAATCCAAGGAGGATTTTCGTAAGAACGAACCAGGAAACGGGGAACGAAGAAGCTATGCTAGAAAATGTATCGGCAGCTTATGTTTCTTCCCATCTCAAGAAGAATCCTTCTTCTTCGCGAGCACCACCGTCAGCCTCGTTGGGAATTTCTATTCTTCGCATTCGACGGTCCGGAATTTTTCGAGGACGGCTTCTTCTCTTTCCGACATACCCCCCTTCCCCTACTTGGAGCATCAGCATCAGCCTCATTCTTAGCCGCAACAGCAGCAGCCACCGCAACGCGAGAGTGTAATTTTAGTTTGATGCTGAGAAAGGAAGAAACGAGAACAAGAAGAAGAAGAAGAAGAAGAATAAAGAAAGGAAAAGAAAAGAAAAGAAAAGAAAAATAAGAAAGCAAGGAGGAAAGAAAACAGCGAGAAAAACCTCGGCGCGCGGCTATTTCTCTCTTTTTCCTTTGGATGTAATAATGGAAGATAGAAAAGAGAGAGAGAGAGAGAGAGAGAGAGAGTAGCCAAAAGGCGCATTACTGACAATGAGAGGAAGAAGACTACACGATCCAACAGCAACTACCCACTCCCGTATACACTTCTGCCACCCCTTATTTTCCTTTACACGGACTCGCCTAGCCTCCGATCGAGACAAAGCCGGTGGTATTACCTTATTTCCCCAGCGTCTAGCTTCTTCCTATCGCACAAATCCTTCTTACGCGGATGCAACCCCTCTTATTCGAGAGAAACAGAGACAACGAGCATCACTCTTATATCGTCCAATCCTCTCCCTTACTCATTCTTATACTTCCCATGAAAATCGCTCTTAACGTTTGCGTAACGACGTCTTTGTTTCCGGCAGATCGATGTCAAGAAAGTGTGCTACAAGATCAAATGAAATGTCAGATACTTTTGTGATACTTTCTAAATCTTTGAATCACATACACACTTCTATATCGATGGATACATTCTAAAAAATCATTTCTGCGGAAGATTTAAATTAACTTTAAATAGAATACAATATTATAGAGAGAGCGTAACACGCTAGATCGATCTTGCGGTTGCAACGAAGAACGAAAAATAAACAAAAAAGAAAACAGAAAAATGGGGAGCAAGTTTATGCTCTCTTTTCGAGTGAGACGAAAAAGTAAAGGATAAAGAGAAGAGAAACGTGGAACAAAAGGAAAAACGGAGTAGCAAAAAAAAACGAAAGAAAAAAAGAAGAAGTACCTAGACCGAGAAAAAGAGAGAGAGAGGAAGAGAAGAATGGAGAGCAGTGGCAAAAAATGGGATAACACAGGTCCGTGTAGGAGAACGGACAGGCAGACAAGACTCATGCACCTTGTGTTCCGTGAGGGGAAAATTACGGCTGGATTGGAGGGATGGAGGATGAAGAAGAAGAGGAGGAGAAGGAGAGCGAGAGAAAGGGGGATGAGGAAAGCTTCGCTGGCATTGTAATGGCGTGTGCCATGGTCCCCATGTGCCAGCCACCCCAACAGCTGAGACCTCTGTACACTGCTGTTAAATACGGTGAAACGAACAGGCCGCTCGCGAGAGTTAAACTCGTAGTTATCGCTCAAATCGATATACGCGCGAATCGATAGACGGCGCTTTCTCTTTAAAATCTACCCTAGTAGCGCGCAGAGTACGATCGCCATGCTAAAAGGTGGCAGTGCTTTGATTCCCTCCCT